AGAGAGAGAGAGAGAGAAACAGAGAGATAGTGATAGAGAGATAGATACATAGAGACATTGGTGTGTGGGGGGTCTATTTTGTCACAAATGACTCTGGCGTCATAATTATCATATATGTGCTTTAAAAAAGAAAGGAAATAAACAAACACAGAGGAATTACCTACTGTTCAGACGAACCCCTCCCCACAGGACAAGCCCCTAAAGGGTGCTACATCATCAACCTGGGGAGGAGATCACCTACAGTAGACCCTGTTTACTGGGTGTGGAGATCAGGCTCCATAGAAGCCAGCACCACTACCTGCTAAGAGAGTGCTTTTCATGCCAGTGGTTTCAGAAAATGATGTGCTGTTGAGCTCTTACATCTTGAACAAGTGACAATGCATCGGTGTTGTGAGTTCCTGGCTGAGAGTAAATTGACATGAAAAGCCACCGGGATCTCAAGCCTTCCTGCTTCTGTACGCTTCTGTGTCCCCAAAGGTCTTTTTCTCAGGAAGACTATAGGAAGCCTATGAGCCCCCAGATGCTGGCATCCCTTGACAACAAAGGCTCACTCAAGAGACAACATGTAGGCTTGTGTGGGGAAAGGTGGGGACATTGGCAAGGACTTGGCTTCAGATGCTAGGGAATGACACAGGAACTGGCCCTCACTTGGGGACGTAATTTACTCTTTAATTACAGAGACAGGTTCCTAAACATGGAGTAAGGTCAAGGTTTCCATCTTTGGACCATAATTGGCCACTGTGGTCCTAAAACCCATGGTCACTCTTCCCTGAAATTTCAGTTTCTTTCCATCTAAGAACATCTAAGCGTGACCACATCACAAAGATGCCATTTGAGTTGTCTGTGAAAACAGCAGCACTCAGACCAGCTCAAAATGAGAGCCCAGAGGAGGCTGCCTGACTTGAGCCAAGCACAGAAAGACCAGGATCCTGACTCTTCTGTCTCAAGGATGGTGTTTGAAGGCAGAGCATGGGGGATAACGGCTTCGACAGTGGTGCCATCCTGGTGGCATTAGCACTTTGCCAGGAGAGACAGGAGAGAGCTTGCTTGTTCTCTGCCTTGACATTTAAGAATATGACAAGAAAGTAGCCTCCGTGAGCCATGAAGAAGGACAAAAAATAAAACAAACAAACAAAAAAACAGCCTCATTGGTACCTGGATCTCAAACTTTTAAGTGCATAGAACTAGGAGAAACTACTGTTGCTACTTAAAGTGTTCTGTCTGCTGAATCCTATTACAGAGGGTTACTAGTGAGGGCTGGGGGTGAGGCTGTCTCCTGGCTTTATTTACCATACTAACTTTAGTGGCATCTCACCCACCAGCACTGGTGTTAAACACAGGTTGGAGATTGAAATTACAGGCTCCCCATATAGCTTGTGGTACTGCACTAACAAAGCAAAGACCCTACCACATCTCAGAACAGTGTTCTGGAAAGGGACTTGGGACAGTGACCTCAAAAGACTCACTCTGATGTGACTTTGGCCACTTTCCAGCTTGTTCTTGATGAATTGATTTGCCTTTATATCACATTTGTGAGGAGGCGTTAGACTCCTACACCTTACCGTACTCGGGGTGCCCGGAGAGCAAATCCGATACAGCAGGCACACATAAAGCACGGTACCTTAGACCATCAGTGTGCTCTACAAGCCCGAGGTCCACACTCACAGGTATTTATATAAAGGTTAAACCACTGTGATCTTCTGAAGCAAAGAGACACAGGGAGGGAGGGGATGATTCTCCCTACTAATCTTCAGCGTTGCCCCGGATGGGCCAGGCTTTTCTAGAGTCAGCAGCCTTGGATTCTCACACAGCCCATACCAGGGTAGGGCAGCTTCTGGCCTCTCTAAAGTTATTCCTGAACACTGACCTGTAGGTACAGCCCTTCCTGGGAGAGGTGCTCTCATCCCAGTGCTCAACTGTTGTCCCATGGCCTACCTTAACTCGCAACCTTGGTGCCAATGAGACAGACTCCAACAGACCTGTCTGTCCACACCCAAGCCTTCTGCTTGGCTGCTAGCTCTTTGCCTCTGTTCCTTGTACCAGGTACCATGTGCAGAACTTGGGGGCATTGGGAGACAGACATAGTCAGACACAGGCTCTGTAGCTGTGAAGACAGAGTCTTCACACCATTGGCAAGCCATGTAGTTATCCCTGGGCCTCATTTTCTTTATGTTTAAAAACAGATGCCATGACTGTGTCTTCCAGGAAACAGACTGTGAGATGGACACTTGCATGAGGTGATCCTTAAACAGAGTGTTTGGCCTTGTTTGCACATGGAGCACTGTAAGGGTCAAGACCACAGGGAAAAGGGGCAGAACTTGTCAGGACTGGGAAGAAGACGCTCATGGCAGAAAGTCAAACAGTGGCCCAGCCCATTTCTCTGAGAGCAACAGCTGGGTCAACCATGTTTGTGGTCAGGGCAGACCACAGGTCTGTCTGCGTGGATTAGCTTCTAGACACAAGCTGTCCCTGGGGAAGGAGCCAGCTCCTTGAGATGGGGGTCAGTGGTAGAATGACTTAGTTAGGACACCAGATACTAAATGGATATGAGAGCTTCGTTTCTATAGGGGCCATAGATAGTGCGTCATGGTGCCCCTACAGAGAGCCACAGGCTCAGGAAGACAAGTAGGCAAAATATCTACGAAGCAACTGGCACTATGTCACTGTTTCCTTGTTGTCTCTACTTCCCTCTCCTCTTTGATCTTAGTTTGTCGACACAGTCATGCCTTCATGTGCTTGTCTAATTTTCAAACTTTGAAACCTTAGACTTGAGCTCAGAGCTTGTTCCACTTACGTAGTTACGGAGTGGAGATACAGACAAAGGCATAGTATAACACAATAGAAAAGACAGACACATACGGTGACTCAATAGAAACTTCACAGAGGCCCCTGGGGCAGCTTTTGGGGTAGTCTCCACTGTCTTCACTCTGTACCTGGTGATAACCACATGCGATTTGTCTCCTCTTTTGCCTCCCAGTTGCCCTGAACTCCTGGCAGACTCTGCCCCTCTCTTCAGCCATTATAGATCCATCCATCAAGCACTTCGACGTTGCCCATATCAGCACCACAGCCACCAGTAACTTCTCTGTAGCCCGGGACTTCTGCTTGCAGGGTAAGAAATCCCCCAAAGAGAGGGTACAGCAGGATGTCAGCCAAGCACTGCCCTGGATACCAACCAACGATAGACAAGAGATTCCAAGATGGCCTGGGAGTACCTGACAGGAAACAACTAACAAAGTAGGGGGGGAGAGACCTGAGAGTCTTCCCACTCCTCTCAAGGCAGTCTACAGTCAAGAGTTTGCAACAGCCAGACAGCCACTGGGGGCCTTGAGCCAGTGTAGAGCGATATCAGCAGGCAGAAGGGGGATTATTGTGAGGGTGAGAAAAGGGGTTGCACGGAGCCAGGTGGGCTGCCATGGTGAGGAAGTGTGCACCCTGGACAGGCTCCTGGGACTAAGCCAAGATCTATGGGGTAAACGCTGAATTATAAGAGATGCTTTAAAAGCAATTTGGAGTCCTCTGATATTGGTACAATCATCTCCAGATGCACCTTTTTCTATAGTTCATAGGCATTGGTGATAATAAACTAATATCGAGGTGGCCACACAATTCTAATGCTCCACAAAGGTTTTCCCTTTCTAAGAGTGACTGAGTTCGGCTGACATTTGCACCCTGATACTCTAAAACCTTTCCAGATACACAAATGCTGGATTTCTTCTCCTCATGACTGGACATTTAACATAAACACTACACTGCCAAGTGCCCATGGCAAGTTGTGTACTACACAGCTCTGGGCAGTCATTCAGAAACTGGACTTTGAATAAAGGGCACAACACACATAGCTCAGGCAGTCTCAGCGGACTGCCCCATTTTCCAGAGCTATTCTTAGCACTGAATGTCACGAAGTAGGTTAAATTGTATCGGACAGCAAGTGGGCTTGGGGGGCGGAGACACAGTTCTGTCACAGGTTAAGGAAAAATTAGAGGAGGTAACAGACCTGAGGAGGGTGCCAGGGGATGGAAAGTAGAGGGTGGTGCCACACTTTGAAGCCCATGGGAAGCCGTGGAAATACCTCGAAGCAAGGGATGAAAAGAGCACACTCATGAGACAATTAAGCAGTAAAAGACATGATCATTTTGTATAAAATATCTTGACGGTGGATTGGGTTCCCACCACCCGCCGTTTCATTCTCAGCCCTGGTGCACAGAATTTATGAATGAGATCTTCTACATGGATAATTAAGTAGATAGATGGAAGGATGGACGCGTGCATTGGTGGATGTGTGATTTAATAGGATGGATGGATGGATGGACGGACGGACGGACGGACGGATGGCAACTGACTTTCTGGATGAATAAACAGGACTGATGATTGGATGCACGTATGGTACGGTGAATGGATGGATCAGAGCATGGATAGATTGGCACATGGATAGACGGGTGTGTGCATACATGGCTTCATGAATGAAATAATAGTTCTGAGGCCAGGCCCCCCTCTCTCTTCTGTTCCGCAGAATGCTCCCGTCACCAGGCCTGCCTTGTCACCACGCTGCAGATCCAGCCTGGGGGTGTGAGGTGCGTGTTCTATCCTGACACACATAACTGCATGCACAGCCTACGGAGCCAGACCTGCTGGCTTCTGCTCCGCGAGGAAGCTGAGTACATCTACCGCAAGTCTGGTGAGTCAGGCTAGGCCTCTGAAGCCATCCCCAGTTTGGGGGTGAGGGATAGCTGGGAATGATATTCATTTGGTGACTTTTTTTTTTCTTGATGCAAACTGCACGAGGCTTTATTGTTGTTTAACGAGCTAACCCCACGTTAGCTCGGGTCTTTCACCCACCCGCCATGGCTGATGGCTAGCAAAGACAGCTCGAAGAGTCTGCATAGAGATCTTATAGGGCCGTGTAAGGGGAGTGTCTAGGGGTATGCACAGGTTCAGGATTGGTGTGCCTCCAGGCTTGGAGGGCTTGCCCTGTGTTGATTGGTCAACTGGTTGTTATAGCCCATAGGCCCTCCCAGGGTGATTGCTATGCTTTGTGTGTCATTGCTGTGCGCTTGTCCATAAAGCACACCCAGGGTCGTAAAGCATAGCGCCACCAGCTAACTTCTGATTGGTTCCTTGCCATGAGGCAGGTGCCTGACCTCTTAGTGACTAAGACAAGGTCAGACTTTTAGGGCAGTGACTTTGAAACTCTTAAGGGAGACTTGACCATAGGTTGCTGGCTAAGTAGCATTCTTCCAGGTACAGTAGCCAAGGTGGGAGAAATTCCCATTGGTGCACATTTATTCTTTGAATCACAGAAACAATCTGGGCCTTTGAATTTCATAAGATAATAATTAAATGTGTTTTGTTAATACTGCATGGTTTAGAAAGCTCTTGTCCATGTCTTATTTTGCCTGTCGGCCTGACACCTTCTCCTCAGCACTCTGTAGCACAAAGAAGTCAGGTCATGGCAGAAGGAGGGAACCTAGAGACAGATTTGTCCCCCAGTGCCACCCTCTGCCTCAGACTCATGCTCAGAGGGAACTTCCAGCTCAGTTGAGTTTAAAAGTTATTCAGGGCTAGACCTATAGCTTAGTAGTAGGGTACTTGTCTAGCAGGCACACAGTCCTGGGTTCCACCCCCAGTACTCCATACAAATAAATAATTCAGAGATCATTTACAATGTACACCAGGCACTTGTGACACAGTCAAGGGGAGAGATGCATATAAATCTATCACGAGAAGCCAGACAATAGCTGTGAGCCAGGAAACAGCCAGAGACTGTGAAGAAGCCCTGCCATGGTAAACACACTCACTGGAGAAGTGAATGGCTGTTGAGATGTTGGCCGTACCTGCCACCCTATCTCCTGAAGCAGGGTCGCACCTTTTCTCTAGAAAAATAAAATATAGCTATATATTGTTGTCGCAGATATCCAACTGCCATTGTAGGATTAAAGCAGTAGTATATGTCAATTCAATAGCTCTAAAACTTTAGTGAGATGTCCCTACGCACCGCCCACTCCACCCCCCAGCACAGACAGTCATTCCTTAAGTCCACTCTGCTATGCCAGGGATTTCCTTCCCATGCCTCTTCAACATTCAGCCTATGAGTGTCCCCCAGTCCTGGCAAGCTCCTAGGCCCTTGGTCTTACCTTCTACCTGGACAGTGGTGTTATTGAGTCGATTTGTAACAGTATATTCCAAGAGTACAGCTAATTGATATGACAGTTCTCTTGAGAAATGCCTTAATATTGAGGATGGGTGTTAAGAAACAGGTTACATGCATCCCTGTCACTTCAAGACTGAAGTCCAGTGGGTAGCCACGTGCTAAAGAAGAGTGTGCATATCTACACCTGCAAAACACAGAGTACTAGCCAAGGCAACTGCAAGATTACATAGGCAGTGCTGGGAAAGAATCCACTATGTCTGCAAGGGTTCAAAGGGAAAGCTGCCCATCTGGCATGTTCCCTAGGTTTGAGCGTGCAGGCAGCACCATAGAGCAGGCCTGAAACCGGGCTGAGATCTACAGATCTGGTTTTCACTCTTGCTCCTGCCTTACTTAGCACAGGGCACACAGCTGCTTCCCACGAAGCCGAAGAAATCCCGGCCATCTTGGCAGCCACAACCATAGACAGATGCCCAAGGCCCTTGATTTACAGTTGTTGGGAATAACTCATGTGCCCATTTCCCTACTAGAAAGCAACTTCCGCTTTCCATCCTGTTTCTACTCGGGGTTCTAACACACACTCCAAGAGTTTTGTAATGAAGTCTCTCTCTGTCTCTGTCTCTCTCTCTGTCTCTCTGTCTCTCTGTCTCTCTCTGTCTCTCTGTCTCTGTCTCTCT